AGAGCCATGTTTTATAGCTGTGGATTCTGCGAGCTCACAAAAAAAGATCTGCAATATAAACACCAGGACAGCAGCAGAGCACACTGTGCAGGTGCAGTTTCTGGCATCCTGCGGTGTGTGAAATAGGAAATTGGGTTGCTCTGCATTGATTGTCTTCATAGCAAACCAGGAGTTTGGTAACAAATTAAATTATTCTGGGCTCTCTCCCTGGAAAACGCCTTCATTTCAAGAATGTGTTCATCTAGGAAATAATTACTGCTGCTTTTCTTGTCGCCTATTAGCTAATTATGCCTGCTTAAGACATAGCTGAAATAAATCAGAAAAGACATAAGCCAGAGATTTAGTGGTTGTGTGAATTGAGGACTGGAATGTGCATCTGATCACTTTGTTCCTTTTGATTCTGCAATTTGTGTGTTTGGGAATTGAAGTAGCGAAGGAATCTACGCTGTTATTCCTGGCTGAGGGAGAAATAACCCTGGTTTTCCATGGAAGGTGTAAAAAGACCCTTTACACTTGGTGGGAGCAATTTTACTCGCAGCCTGTGCTTTTTGTAAGCCCCTTGCTGATGCTTTTAGAAAGAAAGGTACGTGCAGGATATTCTTGTCCAATGCGGTTCACCTGCTCGCCTTCCATCTGACAGAAAAGCCGTGGGTCTGTTGCTTTGATCCAGATGACGGCTCAGCCAAAGGCCTCCCCTCCTGCTGCCACTGAAAGCTCAGAGCCACCTATAGTAGTGCCTAGTGCATGCTTGTGGAAATTCCTAGCCCACCAGGGTTTCTGCCGGTTTTCTCTGCGTTCCCCCAGTAGGAAATGCACAGCACAGGGCTGGTGGAGTGGCTGAGCCGTGGTCCAGCAGCTCAGCTGGAGGGGTGCAGCTCACTTACCCCATCCTGCTGGGCAGCGGTGGGTCTCGCCTGTGCTCCTGTGTAGCGTTCAGCTCCCTGATGTCACCATCAGCAGAACCATGGAGGCCCCACAGAGACTGCTTGGGTTTTGGTTGAACCTGTCTCAAGCTTCAGGAGTGACTAGAAGGGACAGAGGAGGATGATTGATGCTCAGTAAGAAAACAGCTCTATTGGGTTTGAACTCAGACTTCTCATGTGGTTGTATCTTACCTTGCTGACGTAGCAAAACCTCACATCTCCCTTCTGAGGCCTGGCACTCACTGTAACTCATGGCATGTGTTTCAGGTTCCCTCTCAGCACCTTCTCAGGTATGAGACGTAGCAATCCAGGACTTGACCTAATCCCTTGTCTTTAGCCCAAATACAAACATCCCTCTACAGGAACTTCTCTTGTTTTCAGCGGACTTGCCCAGTCCAGCTCTCAGATATATGGTTGCTTTCTCTTCCATAAATAGCTTAATGGAACGATGGTGTCAGTCCTGAGAGCAAATTCTCAACTTCTTCGGGAATCAGAAGACAGCTCAGTAAATGTCCATTTAACAGGAGGAGATGTTGAAAGGGACACATGGCTGCGTACCCCAGAGGAAAGTTAGAAGAAATACTTACAAGTGAGAAAAGTCTCATAGATCTTGCTTCCATCGTCATTAGTTACTCTTGCCTCAGATGCTGAAGCTTCTTAGTAGACAGAAGGAGGAGAGAGTCCTCTGCCTTGCTTGGCTGCTGAGTTTGACAGCTAACATGAGGAGGGACAATGAACACATGGCTTCGTTGCCCAAAGAAGGTGGATATTCAGGCTCTTAAACTCCGGTTGCTTCTGTCTCAGTAAATTCCAGGATCTGCTACTTCTGTGACATTCTCAGTAATTGAAAAACAGAGTAAAAAAACCAAAAACCCAGAACCAAAACCCAAACACCTTTCTGGTCAAAGTAAAGTTACTTGAAAATATGTATGCTGGAATGCTTCGGAATTTGGAACATGGATCAGAAATTCTGGCGGGGAGATGTACTTTAAACTCAGTTACTCTCAGAAGATTGTATATCAGGGGTATGATTTCTGAAGGGCAACTTAAAACTTAATATATTAATAATATTACTATTAATTAATCAGGATTGGTCTGTGTCTGGTACTCCAATAGTACTTTCTCTGCCAGTGCAAAAATCAGTGTGTGGAGTTTCTGGGCTCAGTATAAGCATAATGGCATTGCTGGCCTGAGTTCTATTCCAGCTGCAACTACGCCTCTTGTTTAGAAGAGGAAAAGGGAGAAGTATATTGATTTCTTCTACATAAAGAGTTGAATTCCATCAGTGTTAATTCCTTTAATATTCAAATGAGTTTCATGTGTTTTTTGCGTGTACAGGATGGATAACAAAGAGGGAGAAGATAATTTATCTTTGCTTAAATAGTTGTTCCTAATTGTTTACAATGTAATGGACAATTGACTAACTAGCTTTGTTTCTCTCCTGCAGCCTCCTCCTCAGATATATGATAAACAGCTGGATGAAAGGGAACACACAATTGAGGAATGGAAAGGTAATTGCAGTTTATAATTACACAGGAAGGGGTACTTCAGTAGCGAAATGGCTGTGTCCCACCAAATGCATCTGTGTAAAACCAAAGGAATTCCTGTGACACGCAGGATTGACCCTAGCCCTACGAACTCGTGCTTTGGCAGCGAAAATATAAGAAATGTCCTGAGTACTATCATTATCTACATAGGGCAGTGCTCACACAGGAGGGGCAGATTGCAGGGCTTCATTGAAATCTAAGATATCGTCTGGAGAACAGGATACTGGTCAGCAGGACAATGAATCAGAATTTCACCCGCAGTAAAAAGCATGGGATCACTGTGCAGCTTCATCTCTAGATAGTGCAGCATTAAACAATTCATGTGTTCCTAGTTTAACACTGTCTCAATTCAGCTCCGAAAAGAGGTGATAGGAGAGGAGGGGAATGGGAGGGAAAGGTAGTAGAGCCGTCAAACTCATGAAGGCAAGGTAGGGCAGCACAAGGGAGCTTATGGGAGAGCTACGACGCCGTGTTTTGTGAGAGCTGTTTTCCTCCTGATCACAGACACTGGTTCCTGTTTGTAATTGTTGCGATTCTCTCTTCCAGAACTCATCTACAAAGAAGTAATGAATTCTGAAGAAAAGACAAAAAATGGCGTAGTAAAAGGACAGCCTTCCCCTTCAGGTACTCGACCCCATTGAATAACTTTGGTGCGTTTTCTGTACTGACAAAAGAGAATGGAGATAGCTGAAGCACTTGGGCTGCACTTGCAGTTATGTAGACCCAGTTAAAAAGTTGTTATGAGATCAAGTCCTTCTAATGGGTTGACCTTGATTAATTGCACTGCAGTGTTCTGTTAATACTTAAAAATTGGTCTTCTTCCTATTTAAGATACATTTGTCCTGGTATTTTCTATGGAAAGGTCTGTGGTTACAGATTATATTCCCGTGGGTGGGGAGACATTTCACACTGTTATTACACTGCTTATAGATGGATAACTGAACTAACACTCTGCTAGTTGATAACAGGACAATGGGTGATGTTAGCATGGACCCATATCTGGGACATGTGACATTGCTCCCCCCCATGTAAGCAACCGGTACCTACTCTGGCAGTTTATCCTTTCAGAAGTCTGACAATATCACAACAGCCTGCTGGTGAGCTTGGTTGGCACTACAACGAGAAAGGAAAGTTGTCTTCAAGCACAGATTCTTAAAGCCCTGTCACAAAAAAAATAAAACAAACAAACAAACAGACAAACAAAAAAACCCAACCAAACAAAAAATAAATTTTATCTGAGGAGAATTCCCATCAGCAGTCTTTTCACAGAAAAGCCAAGTGTGGCTGTCACTACCCAGAAATACACATTTGTGAAGGTATGCTTTCACGGGCAGACTCAAAGTGCCCATGTTTTGTCCCAGTAGTGTTTATGGGTAAAACTAACAACCTTCTGCAGAGCTTTTCCTCAAAGTAAAACCAGGCGCTTCAGTGTCCTCTGCGTATTTTCAGAGAGATTTGGTGTTTTGCTGCTGAGGTAACTGAATGTTAGGACAAGAATGTATCTTTAGTAACTGAAAGGACATGGGGAAACATGGCAACAGTGGAGGAAGTTAACAGAGCGCTGGATGGTGAACTAGAGCACTAGCACTGCACCTGGATTTTGACATCGATTACGTAAGATATTGAAAACAATCCATCCAAGCAGATACTTCTGAAGCCTGTTCCCAAAAAGACCTGTAAGCTATCTTGGTCACTTTCAAAAATCTTTTTGTATTGTCTTGCCTAAATCTTTTTTTGCTTAAGTTTAACTCTGTTATTTCTTGTCCTGTCTCCAGAGGACAAGGAGAACAGTTTCTTACATGTTTCTTTCTGGCAGCTTTTAGCTTACTTCAATTCCATTATTGCATCTCTAATCAGTCTTCCTTCCTGTGAACTTCACTACCCGCCTCTTTGAAACATCCTGCTTTTCTCTACTTCTTATCCAGTTGAGTTCTATCTTTCGTAGATCACAGTATTCAAACCTGTCTGCTGAAGGCACTAGTAGTGCTGCATAGAGTGGAGAGATTTGTGTGTAGGTGTGTATACATGTGCTATGTACACAAGCAACACGGGCAAACAACATATGTATGTCCACATGCTCACATAAACACTGAATTTAATCTTAAAATGGTAGTTTTTCTTTTTTCTAGTCATTCCATGTCACAGAATTGCTAAATTGTTCTGGTTTAGTTATAAATTCAGGTGATATACCCCTTCCCAATACGCTTTACCATTCAAAGCGTCTATGCCAGAGTGTTACTCAGCTGGGAGAAGAAAAGTGCTTAGAATAAAATGTTTTCTGAGTGGAACTCGGTCACAACAACACATGTGAGAAATAGCCACTAGATTTAATCAGCCTTCAAGATTGCTGACTAATTCACTCCTTAAAACTGACTAGTTCACTCCTTAAAACATGAAAATATATACATTTTATACACCTGTATCCTCTCCAGAATACATGCACAGAGGCGTCTAACACACGTGCATATGTGCATCTTCTGTTGAGGTCTCCTTCTGAGTTCCACAGAGGATGTATTCTTTGTTTTAAATTACTAGCTTTACCAAGAAGGGCAGCAGAACTTTTCACTAGCAGTCTCAGGACTCCTGCTCTGTCATTTATGAAGCAGAGAAGGAAATGATATAAACTGTTTTATGCAAAAGGGAGTTTACAAATATTATTTATTATTTGGTTAATACATTGAAAAAAGTGTTTCTGACTGGTGTTAGCAAACAACGGGTATTTCCTTTAAAAAAAAATATAATACACGGCTGTAGGTTATTTAGAATTAAACTTACGTTCTGTCCAAAGTAAATAACCTTGCTGCTATTTCCAGATTTCTGGACACTGCACAACTAGATAACCACTTTCCTAACGCTCTCCCCTAGTCTTTGGTACTAAGCTGTAGTTCATACCTCACATTTCCAACTGTCTTCTCATTTCAGGACACTGAATGTAGTAAATACTGCTGATCTTAGTGCAGCTTATTCTTAGCAGTCCCCTTTCTTGCTGAAAATTGTTCTGCTATTCTTCCTTTCCTGCCTTTTAGCTGCTGTTTGATTTGGTCAGTTTTGTTGCTGTCGCCCAAGAACTACTGGATACCTTTCGTTAGCCCTCTTCTGTTGTGTGCAAAGTGGACAATGAGCAGCTGATGGACTTGCCCAAGCACTGTGACACTGACTATCAAGAGTTACTAATCACTCAATTTATAAGAAGCTGAGCAGATCTCCAAGGCAGACACTCCCAAAGATATTTTGGAAATGGCAAAAACTGCAGGTTTTTTTTTTTTCCTCCTGCGGCATCTGTGGCACTTTGCAGCTGAAGTTTTTAAGGCGCTCCATAGGCACTAATTAAATAAGGCTTCACAGCAGCTCTCCGAGGAAGGAGCAGGGCAGCGCATGCGTGGCTTGAGAGTAGCAGAGCCAGTAACAGATCACAGGAGCTGCTTCTCACCTGCTCTAACCTTTTGCTCTTTTCCTTGATGATGCAGCTTCCTGCCAAACAGCAGATTCACAGACGGGGTTCTTTTTCTCTTTTGAATGCAGCTCTGTCATTTCTGCTGTGCTCCACCTGGCACTCGTCCCTGCAGGAACAAGCTGTTGTAGCACCAGGCAGGTGCCGAGCGCAGAAAATGAAGCATTACTTACTGAGCAGGACAGCTTGTGGCTTGTGGTTGGGTTTCTGAGCATTGCTGCTTTGTGCTGCTGAATTCTTTAATTCTGTCATGTCGGTTCGGTGTGCTTTGGTTTGGTTTTGTGGGTGTTTTGTGAGCCTGGGGTGCTTTGGGGCTGCAACAGGAACTGTCAGGTCTGTGCGTCACACCACATGGAACTGAGCTGAGAGCCTGGAATAACCATAAAAATGCACTTTCCAGGAGCTTACAGGCTGAGTTGGTGCTTGCTGAAGTGAAGATAGCAGGGTTTATTGAATTCAGTAGTGCTGAATCAGACAGAGTGCAACAAAATCTTCACCTATACAATTTCTGCAGCTATTTCTTCAGTTATTTTGCCTACCTAAGTTGATGGCACATCCATCAAAGCAAGCTGCACAGCAACAGTTTGATCCAAAGTCGATTGAACCTACAGGAATTCTTTCAGTTTGATTCCTGGGACAGTATCCATGACTTAAGGGCAGGCTTCGGTCCAGCACTGTAAACATTTAGAAAGGTAACACATTGTTTAGTCATTCATATAATTAAATTCAGTCATATTTTGACTATAACTAAATGCATTTGTTTTGACTGATTAGTATTCATAAAATTCCACATGGTTTAATAAGATGTAAACATGCAGTAACGGTATTGTAGTGGGTGATTATTGATCAATAGGAATGACATAGGTGTAAATAACTCTTACAAAAACAACTTTTCTGTCAGAAAAGATGGACGATTGCTGTCTGCAGTCAACAATGAGCCGTCACTGAAATCGCTCTTTTTGCAGCATTTACAAAATGAACTATTTTATTTTCCAAATGTATCAGGAGAGTAAGCTAATTCAAGGGTTCTTCTGATGCCAGAATAACTTTGTGCTGCTACACCAGCAAAAAGCAGTTCCCATCTAGAGCCCTGAATGTGAGTGCCTCTGTCTCTGTGCACATTTATACTGGATGTGTACAAAGGGAAGAAAAAGTTGAGGAAAATAAAGAGTGGTTGGAGGTATGGTATGGTGGATTGTTCTCTCAAAGTAATGTTTCTGTTGCAAATTGGTAAGTGACAGAAGACTTCTCCTTTTGCCCGTAGCATCATATATTTTGCCTAAGGTGTACAGGTGGCCATTAATATGTGTTAAGAATACATGAGTTTTGTAATTTTACTGGATGTCTTTTATTAGGTGAGTTCTCTTGCTTTTCACAGGCAGTGGATGTTAATTTCTCTCCATTTCAAGGAAATGAAAACCTGTAAATGTGAGCTGAGAACACTTTTTGGCCATAAGAATGAAATGGTATCTGTCTGCAGAGCAAAGATCCATGTGGCACAGTGACTAGCTACGATTTCTAACTGTGCAATATAATGCAAAACCATCTATTTTATTATTGGGAATATTTAATGAAAATTAATGTATCCTTCCCGAACTGCAGACAGTTATAATTTCATTGGAAAGAGGACAACAAAACGTTTCCTGAAAGTTCAGTGGAAAAAAAAAACCAATCAAACTGTTGTTTGCTACTTTGAGAACTTAAGTATGAGCTGAGGTTAATCGGCAGAGGGATGGTTGAGCAGTCATAGGTGCATGACAAATACATTCTTCACACGGCTCTGTATTTATCACGCTGTTATCTGCGTTTATAGGACAGATAATGCCTGATAACATTCAGGGTTGTGATAAATGTTCAGTCATGTTAAGAGTAATCTCATTAATTTGTTTCACAGAGTGAAAGTGATATTTTGGATAATATCTGGTACTGTTGTCATTTTACAGAGGACAGGTATGGGATGCACAAAAATACTGTCACAACTTAAATCCTGGGCATAGTTACCTAGTTGTTATCTAAGAGGAAGACACCAGCTTGCCTCCCCCACAGCCATCTTCTCTATATTGCCACCAGGTGATTTGATGCCACCCATTCTGCTCAACTGCCTACAAGGAACTGGTGTTTTTATGGGAGAGTATAGGGGATTGTGTTGGCTTTTTATGATCACCTTGTTGGTCCTGTGTGACCCAAGCAGACATCCCATCATTGAGTGTTCTGTAACTCTAAAGTCGAGAAAGAGCTGGAGTGATAGACACAACATGAGCTGTACCTCTTCAAAACAGACTGTTGAGGGAGAGAATTCCCTGGTAAAATACTAAATATTATCCAGTGCCTCAAGTCTGTATGGCCTATTTTCTGCTGACATTTGCCATTGTTTACAATGGTCTGTGTACTTACATGCCTGTTGACACAGGGTGAGTATCCTTTGCTTTTAAACTGCGAAAAGTTCTGAGGTTTCAGGTTTAATCACGCTGGTGTTCATTTTCGTAGCACAGGTGCAGCAGTGAACAGCAGTGAAAGCCTCCCTCCATCCTCATCTGTCAATGACATCTCGTCCATGTCCACGGATCAAACACTGGCGTCCGACACAGACAGCAGCCTGGAAGCTTCTGCGGGACCCCTCGGTTGTTGCAGGTGACTAGCCGCCTGCCTGCGAAACCCAGCGTTCTTCAGAGGATGATGTAATTTAGGAGGAAAAATTAACAAGAGATAAGAGATGAAAAGGAAGAGAAGAGGAAGAGAAATAAAATACAAATATTTAAGTGAAAAACAAACAAAAATCTTTTCAGCCTGCTTCTCCTACAGAGTTATGTAACGCAGCTAAGCTCAAGTGTATATTTAACTTATAGTTGCTCTGCTTTGGTCTTCTTCCAATGATGCTTACTGGGGGAAAAAAAAGGGAACTGAAAAAAATTATTTTTTCACCCCCTCCCCATAAGATGTAAAATTAATGGCTGCAAAACCAGCAACCTGCAACTGTCCTTTTCACGCTGGCATGACAAGGTGTGCAGTTGCCACTCTCAAACATCCGAGTGTGTATCTGCCTTCACTCCCTGTCCCGTTGTCTTCTGCCCAGTCAGGTAGATAGGGGTATACATGCATTTTTGTTCACGTACGAATAGCACATACCCACCCACGTGCCAACAGAATCCTGGCAGTGTGCGCAGCTGTGTGCCTGGAGGGCCACGCACATCTGCGTACATACCTTGTGTGCACCCCACAACTAAACGGCCCATTTCAGGTGAACTGCATAACGACACATGTGTGATGTTACGAGTATATACTCCTTTTGTTTGTTCATTGCTGAGGCTGCATACCTTGTATGAGGATTGTGGAAGTGTCAGTAACCACACTGAGCTGTGCCTCCCTCAGACACTTGAAGATGTAGCACCAAAAGGTTGGTTTGTGAACGTTCAGACTTGTTGACGTTTAGAGCAGATACGCCGAGCTAAGACCAGGTTAGAAGGAAGCACATTTATCTCTGCAAGCTACAGGGAACAAGAATGAAGGGGTTTTTTTATGCATGTCTAAGCCACAAAAGATTTATCTTAGTAAGCAACTTTTCTTGTCAATGTTAAGTGAGTTATCATACAGTTCATAGACAGGCTCGCTGTTACGAGTTACATGTATGTTAGGGAGTATGGCAGGGTTGGGGAACAGGCAGATTATAGTTAAAAGTACAACTTGGTTTTATTTTCCATCTAGATCTTTCCTAGGTTAAATAGGGAAAGGATATTTGCAGCCCACTCCCTCTCCCTGTGTGTTTGCAGCTTAAGGGTTGTTTTCCCTTTAAATCATTCCCTTGCAGAGATCTCCGCTGCTAAGAGAACAGCCCTTCTCTAGGTACTTATGACTGTTTGTTCGCTTGTGACAAATCATCTGATTCCCCAGGAAGACTTATCAGCTGTGCTACATGGAAAAGAAGCAGAGTGCATGGGGCTTGTATTCCTATACCCTAAGTAACAGCAGAGGTACCATCAGCTGGTGGCTGCAAGGGTCGCAATCAGGGGCTTGAGGCAGTTTTGGCAGTTTTGAAGAACCCTACAGTGGCGGAATATTCAATTGATTTTGCCAGATAATAATCCGTAGGATTCCCAGGGGTAAGTAACAGCAAGTGTTTTACCAGCAACGCTCCACACGGAATTCAGAACAACCAAATATTTTTCCAGCCAAAAGCAATTATCATTTTCTACTGCCAGGGCATCGTTACCTGAGTTGGAAATTAACTAAAATCTGAGTCATCTCTCCTCTTACCAAAGTGTGCCAGGCAAAGTGAAATGAGCTAGATCATACACTAATGCTTTTACAAATGTCAAAGAGAGAGATTGTTTAGAATATATTACTGGACATTTGAAATGCACTAATTCTTAGGTATTCAAAATTCTGCTAAAATAGGACTGTTCTGTTAGGCAGCCTACAAGCCTGCCATTCTGTGGTAGGAAAAAAAATTGAGTATCAAGTCAGATTTTGTTGAAAGGGAAGAAAACAAAGAAAAAAAAATTCTCTCCAGGGTGGGGAGGAGAGGAGATAAAAATGAAGTGGATATAAAGTAATTTCAGAATTGGTAGGTCTGAGCTGTCTCAGAATTGCTGTAGAAAATTGGTTTTTCCCCCAGGTATATTTTTTTGGAATTTTTTTTAAAAGAATAAAATTAGGTCAATCATGTTCTAAAAACTCAGTAATTGTAAAAGCAATAATTTACTACTGCTAAAAATATTTAGCAATATTCTCTCTAAAGCCATGAAACATTGAAGTCACTGTTGAGTGATATAACTCTTTCTTCAAAGCCAGTAATCACAGAAGTATTGAAAAGTAAAGAGCAATGCTCTGTAGCTATGAAGGCAATAACATCATGGGTGACTTCTTAGCAATAATGAAATGTATCACCTGCAGATTTAGTTCACCGTAGATGTATGTTATTAATATTCAGATAACTAGTATCTGCTTTACATTCCTTAGTGTGCACGATTTGGGTGTGTTTTTTAAACAAAACAAAAGTGTCTCAAAGAGGCAGGTAAGAGAAACTGAAAAAATACCCCAGATGTTGAACGTAGAAACGAGGAATAATCACAGTTCATTGCCAGTGATATTACAGAGATGTGGCATAGGCAACAGCAGAGAAGCCAATTCTAGTAGACAGATGCCTACAGATCTCCCGTGTTCCATCTGTTGAAGCCCAAAAACCTGCTCGTAGTCCCATGGGATAGTTCAGTCTTGTCTGGGTTTGTGAGTGCTGGGTGGAGAACTAGTCACCCTAGATGTCCTAGTGAGCCCACAGCAGAGAAGTTCCACAGCTTTATTCGCAGAAGCCAATTCCACTAAGCACCAGTGCTTGTACAATCATTTCATGGAGACTATAGGGATGCAAACATAAATTTTAACTAGCATGTTATCTTGTCCTTTGCTCGGCAGCAGTCGACATCAGCATGTGCTTTAGTGCCTTGCTGAAACGGGGCCTGTAAGGATTACTGCATCTCTTTTTGTCCTCACATTAGTTAGTCTGCTTTAGGAGAAGCTCTGTCGGGGGGAGGAGACTTGGAGCTGTCCCTGTGGGATGCTAGAAAAAAGCCACCAATGAAGAAAAGCAATAGTTCTTTGCAGTTCTGGTCCTTGTATGCCCAGACTGAAGTAGCGACCGCTGTACAGTATCCTCTGCTTTGCTCTGCATCAGGAAGTTGGTGCTTTCAGCTGACGAGAAGAATCCATGTACTCTTAAATAAGGATTGCAGTGATGATGATCTGTAGCTGTCTTAAGGTAAACAATTTTTTTTTCAGATTCTAGAAGTTTTGATACCCTTCTCTTGAAGTCTGTTTTCTTAGTTCTAATATCCTGTTCAGTTTGACAAGGATAGATGCTTTTCTTATTTTTCTTGCCAGTGATCTTTCAAATCTACCTCTGTTACTAGATAGTACTTGATTACCCATTGTCACCTTGTTTTCTGAGGTTTGCAGTTGTCGGCATAACTGCTACCGCTGCAGAGATGTAGGAGACTGGGAAGCCAGAGATCTATGCCAGATGCTCAAGGTATTAGGGACTACAGGAGCAATCACAGAGCCTATGCCAGAAGTAGCATCTCTTCCATCAGCATGAATAGCAGCTGGACACCTTGGTATTGTTGAAAATCTGCCTAAGAACCTATTGGTATCTTAAGTGCCTGAATACATTAAGAAATTCCACCACAAGTGGCTTGTCATGTAGCTAGCCATCAGCAGGGTGAGGACAATGAGAGAAGCATCTTAACTATCCGTGGCTGCTCAGAGCACTAGCTGCAAAAAATAACATCAAGAAGGTAGAGAGGAAAGTTGCTGCAAAACATTCCAGGAGTACTGATGGATGGTACAAGAAACTAAATTAAAAAAAAAAAATCAGAATTTCTCTTGAAAGACCCTCCCTCCGTTTTCCTTCTCACTGCTGAGTTTAAATGAGGATGAGGTATGGATTTGCTTCAAGGTGATGCAAGGTTATGCATGTTTTCAATCCAAAATTTTCTGTAATTTAAAACATCAGTCTTCAGATACTGAGTTGGTAGCTGGAATAGTATCTTGTGAGCTTTGACTATATTCCATTAAGATGTAACAGATCTTTAGAGAGATGAAATATTTGAGTTGGTCATGCTGATTTACATTGTTGTTGGGGATCCTCCTATACTATCTCGAATTCCAAGGCACAGATAGGTGCAGGAATCTTAACGAGCTTGCATTATATAAAATGGAGCTTAAACTGGAGTGGAAGTATAGTAGCTTGTCAAAAAAAAAAAAAAAAAAAAAACCACAGAGAGCCTGATCAGGTATCTCCCTGCTGCATTGATGGTCTTCCTCTGGAAATCACCAGTTTCTGCACAATACTGGCCTTGAGAGGTTACACAAGACAGATGATCATGTCACTGTATCACTTGTAAACTTATAACCAAGAATACCTTCATATTATGGTTTTATCTTCATATATATTGCTTTACCTTCAAGCTTTGGGCTAACAATAGCAAAGAAATTAGACTTGTTGCAGTGCCTTTAGGAAGTTTTCCGAAGTAGTGCTACTTCACTGATTTGGATTGTATTCTAATGTTTGTTAGTGAGCACCAGGGATTTCTTTTCCACCAACATATTTTATCATGAAAAATAAGCTAATACTCAAGATAAGAACTTCCTGAGAGAGTCATTTTCACCGAATCTCCCAAATGTGTTTTGAGTATCCTGAAATCGTTGTAAAATGTAATGGAATATTTTAATTCAAAATAACTTTTAATAGCCAGTGTTGGCTTATTTCAAAGGATCAAAAATTATTTTAGTTTCAGATCTATCTAGATTTCTTTCTTCATGAGATTTTTATAATTTTGTATGAATTCAAACATGAAAAATAATGAAAATATTAAAAAAAAAAAGTGCATTTTGCAACAAACTCTGTGTGCTTCCAGGGAGAGCAATATGAAAGAAAACCTGCAGGGAATAATTGTGCTTTCTTCTAATCATCTGGCAAAAGAGTCCGAGTTAGTGGTTCACTTAAAGTTTAGGCTTTTGTTTTTCTTTGCTTTCATATGTGTGTGTAGGAAAGAGAGGGAGTGCATGTGGATGTGACTTTTAAAACCACTATTGTACTCATATTTGATCGAAGTCCTCCGTGTGGATAGTGTAATCGTAACA